GCTTACTCCAAGCACCACCACCTCTGTTGCCCCAAGAAGATTCACTATCCTTTTTGTGCAAAGAATCTCCATCATCCTGCTTATTCCCATTAGATCCTCCATCCTGCTTGCTCCATGAGGATCCCCCATCTTTCTTACTCCACGAAGAAGTGTCCTGTTTAGCCCAAGGTTTACTATCCTGATTATTCCACGAAGTTCCACCATCAGCACCAACAGGCTTTGGTTTACTCCAGGAATCAGTCTGACCAGCTGAACTAGCCTTGCCCCAAGATTGCTCTTGATTTTCCATAGTGCCTTCAGGTTGGGACTCCACAGCTTTGTCTGAGCTAGACCCACCCTTTCCCCAACCTGCTGCGCCATCTTTTTTAATGTTGCCCCAGTTTGCATTCTGACCTTCATTTGAACCAGCAGCGTCCTTCCAGGCGTTCGCTCCTGTATCTTTCTTCCAGGCACTTGCTTCTGGTAGATCTAACTTTCCACCTGCATTACCCCATCCTCCAGTCTCATTCTCTGATGAAGCTCCAGTTTTGTTCCAAGCTTCCTTGCTTCCACCGGTATCATCTCTACTTGTTCCCCAGCTACCAACTGATCCGGCGTTGGCAACCATTTTCTCATCAGCTGTGGCAGCACCCCACGATGGATTCTGATTTGGAGTTGCTTTAATCTCCCAAGCAGAACCTTCTGTGCCTGCATCATAATGCAAGAAAAGCAACAGCATAGATAAATCTTCTACTCACACAGGAAACATGAATAAACTTTTCAGTAGGTTCATAAATTAAGGAAACAACTTAAGCTCAATGATAATAAACAGCTATGATAAAAAAATAATAATAAGCTCAACCGAAGTTCAGCTTTATCGAGCAAAAGAAGTAAAAAGGTTAGCTCAATCAAGATACTCCTACAAAAAAGGTTAGTTCATTTTATTGACTAGGCATCCTAAATCAATTACACCATTTTGACAATGAAGGCGGCAAGGAAAAAAAATGAGCAACTATAAATCAAAGCCAAACATCTGATTTTTCAGATGATGTGTTAAGAGATACTGAAAGCCATAGACCCAGAAACTGTGCATCTTGAATACATGATACTACGCAGGACTCTCACAATCAGCAATTTCAAACTAAAAAACATTCGGTAGCTACTAGCAATGTAAATTGAAAAAACACATCCCCGTGCCTACCTTTTTGGGCATCATCATCCACGGGATTAGACGCACCAACAGGACCAGATTCCTGGTCAAGCTGCAAATATTAAAAAGCTTGTCATAATTGTCAAGTGAGGGACCAAATATGTGCACCACCATAATAAAAATAAGGAAGAGCATTGTAGCTAACCGTTAAGCTTGATGGGAAAGCAGACCAAGAAGTCCTGCAAATAAATGCTGGCATTATAGGTTGAAAGTAGAAAACTACAGAAGGCAGTAGATGAATAGACATGTACATCATACATCAGTCAGAAAGCAATAATTTAAAAGGGAAACATCAATAGTGTTTTATGGATAAACATATAAAATGCACCGCAGATATAACTATGGCAGAATAGAATAGAAGGAACCAGTATTCCGTTGGTTACATTCCAAAGCAGCATAATAATTTTATTCTAGATGTTTTATATTCCCTTTCAATTCGTAAATTTAAAGAGACTTTCCTGAATAAAAAATTAAAATAAGTAACAGACCACTTTCTATAATTTCCTTGTACAGTATTGTTCACTCATTTCTGTCAGAATGGAGTGAGTGAAAACAGGGAGATCTATGGTGTACAGTCATGAACAAAACACAACAATCGTCATATCAAGTGAATGTTCATTCTGACCATCAAATCACCATAAAATCGGTTATTTATTCATTTTTTTAGACGGAAAATGTAGTCATAATCATGAAACACGAGTTACAATTTCTAAAGAAAGCTGAGAAAAGAAAATTTTAACTTTATATTTATATGCTTGTCAGAAAAACAATACTAACAAAAAACACATCGTCACCACCAAAAAATTAAATAACTATACGTGCATAAAGATGGTAAGATTGAAAATAAATTAAAAAAGGGCATCAGATACAAGTAAAAACCTTTCTGTAGATAATCCTCCTGCATTCCAATTTTCACCATCTGTTGACAACGCCGTCCCATCCTTCCAATCTTCAAGTTAAATATGCATTTAAATCCAAAGAACAAATAAACCAGGGGTGGGTGCGAAGGAGAAGAAACTATTAAAAGAAAAGAAAAGAAAAGGAAGACAAAAAAGTGATTCAAAACCATAGGTCAGGTTTCCTACCTGTAGAAGCGTCTTGCAATCTTTCCCTGAAGAAAAATGTAAATGGTGTGAACATCAGGGTGAGTCAAAAACTATCATAACTACAAAGAACATTGAACAACAAATTGCCAGGAAAAAAATATAAGTTTGTAATAGTATCTTCACTTACCCCTGAGAAATGGCAGAATTTCTTCCACGAACCTCTGACAGATGCTCACATTTCACTAGGAGAACACATCAGAATATTTAAATCAGAGTCATGCAACACCAAAAGAGGATCAGGTTTTATCCATCCAACCTGTAAGAATTTTGTGCTGAGAATCCAGCTTTACTGTGACCTCAGAACGGCGAACAGCTAACACACGACAAAGGTACCCCTTTAAAGGGCCCAGTCGGATTCTTAATAACTGACCAACAGAGAACATTCCATTATCTTCGCGATTAGCTGCAGTTACAATAACACATTAAACAGGGTAAATGAAGTTAGAACTTTAATAGCATATCTAGTGATTAGATATAATAGGAACTCAAAAACATACAGTTGTCTTTAGTATCCCTCTCTTGCCAAGAATTTTTAGGAGACAAAGGGGATTTTGGCGATGATGGGAAATCCTCAAATCCTGAAGGACCACCTGGCTCACTACCCTGATTCAAATTAAGAAATGCAACTATATGTTAGATTTGGACAAAACTGTCACATTAAATAATATAAGGTCAGTTAAAAAAGTAAAAAACTCATGCTCCTCTGGTTCTAAACACACAAACCTTCTCCTTGGATGCATCACCAGAAATATTTATTTTCTCACATAACTGTGCTTTAACACAGATATAGCCATTATTCTCTTGTTCACTTTCATCACACAAAAATAGTATGCCTTTGTAGATTTTTTTAACAGTTCCTTGTTTATCCTGCAATGTCAACATACATACGTGCGCATTAGCTTCCAAAAAACGAAGTGAAATAATTACTTGAAGCTTCTAATTTAAAATTACTAGCAGACCTTCAATGGACCATCCAAAACCCTGACTATGTCATTAATTGATATGGTTTTTGCATGCTGATCCAAAACGGTGAACAATTTTTTGTCAAAAGACGCACTCTTTAGCTCACGCTGTTTGACGGTAACAACTGATGGTCCTTCTGAGCCTTCTTTAATGACCTATTACCAAAAAATGATCAATTGAAGGAGATGAATTGACATAACACAAGGATGAAGATAATCAAGTATGAAGTGTTTATACCTTTACACTGTTATCCTTCTCCGTGCCAATGACAACACCAAAATCCTTCCGGCTGCAAGCAAAGCATGTCGGATTTTAGTAGTTGTCTTCATCACAAAATATTATGACAACTAGAGGCTTACCCAAAAAAGACTAGATCATGCATTTCAAAATTATTTTCCATTGTAGAGCTACACGAGCCACCTTCTTTGCCACCTTCTTTGCCACCCCCTTTGTCCTTCTTTATGGCCTGAACATGCTTCTTCTTTTGTTCGCCAAAAAGTTGGGAAAGCCACTGTCCATCATTAGATTCATCCTTTTTTGAAGGCTCAAACTTCAGGAGTTCATCATCAGTGGGCATTACACCCCACAAACTCAGTGAGTCAATAGACACTTTTTTGTATAAATAGCCATCCTTCAGCAACATCCCGTCAAGAATCTCAAACATCAGGTTAGTGTCACGATCCCTTCGGTATTGAATGAGAGGACGGAACTCCCTACAAGCGTAACATGAATACATATAATGAGCACCGAAACCATGAAACGAAAAATAACGAATGGGGGCATGCAAGTTACTCAAGCTCGCTAGAGCTGATCAGTCGTGGTGCTGGGATGGCTGTCCTTTTAGCAGGAACTCCGCCGCCCTGTAAATAAATATAAAACATGAGTCAATAGAAATTTTATTAGACATCAGAAGCAACATCAAGACTAGTAACAAAGGTAGCTGTTGTTAGAGGAAATCCTTCACATATTTTGTTTAAAAAGCAGACATAAATATCTCGATAACATATTTGAATTGCATGATAAATGATTTCGATCATGGAAATATGAGTAGGAACTAATGAATGAATAAAGGGGTAAGAGCATTTAAACTGAGCATCGCCATGAACTACAGCTGAACCAAAAGCACCATCAATTCCAAGGAAACTATTCTAAGAAGAAA